CTCCTCCCCTCCCCTCCCCTCTTCCTCCCCTCGTCCTCCCCCCTCTCTCTCTCCTCTCTGTCCATCTGTTGCTGAGCCTCCCTGCAGAACTTGAGAAGGGCTGAGGTCAGGCAATATGCCGCGTGGCAAGAGAGCGAGCACCGCCTTAAATCGAAAATAAAAAAAATAAAACTTGTTTGTGTCTCTCTCCCCCCGTTCTTCTCTCCCCCCCGTTCTTCTCTCTCCCGTTCTTCAGGTCGACGACGCCATGCTCATGTTCGACAAGACCACCAACAGACACAGAGGTGAGACGAACTTCCCTCCCCCCTTTTTACATCTCGATCCTCTTCCTCCATCTCCCTCTTTCCACGCCGTCTATTGATCCCCCTCCTCCTCCCCTCCTCCGCGGGCCTCCTTCCTGTGGGCTGAGCTGGAGGAGACGAACGGGGCTAGTCTAATTAGCCAGTCCGTTAATCTGGATCAGGATAAAGCCTCCTTAAGCACCTCCTCCCCACCCTGGGACTGATCGATTATGACAGCCTACCAGCTTTGCCCGGGCCTTCTGGCCGAGAAGGGAGGGAAGAAAGGGATGAGTGCAGAATAGCAGCATTGAAAGAAAGGGGGGAGGAAGGTGGTTGCCGTTGGGGGGGGACGTGTTAAGCAGCTATTACAGCGCCGATTACTGGAGACTATTAGCTGCACAGAAAGGCCCTACTGTCTGAACCCGCCGTGCTTAAACCCGCCTTGTCCTCGCGCAGGGTTCGGCTTCGTGACGTTTGAGAACGAGGACGTGGTGGAGAAAGTGTGCGAGATCCACTTCCACGAGATCAACAACAAAATGGTGAGAAAATAAACGTCCTCGAACGCCACGGCGCCGGTTTAATGAACAGGAAGTGAAACTGATTTTTGTTTTCGTGTTGAACAGGTGGAGTGTAAGAAGGCTCAGCCCAAGGAGGTGATGTCCCCCACGGGCTCAGCCAGGGGGCGCTCTCGTGTGATGCCCTATGGGATGGACGCCTTCATGCTGGGCATTGGTATGCTGGGTAAGGTAGTATTGATCAGGACAGGAAGGATGTGGCTGCACGCGTGAACCCGATGAGGCCGCAGCTGCCTTAAAGGTCACGTGGTGCCTCGTGGCGGGCGGCGGCGGGGGAGAAAGCTGACCACTTTAACTGAGCTCAGCTCGATAAACATTTTATATTCAGTGTTTAAACCTGCAAGTAAACATTTAAATCACTAATTAGCCTGATTACAGGAAGTCCTGTCGTCTAAACACCTAAAATCTTTAACTTTGTCACATTAAAATACACAACTACACTACAGACAACATTTAACACAAACTATTTACATCATAACTAAATAAATAAGGAAGAACCATGAATGAATTATGGTCTTTTTAGCAGCAGTCAAACCTAAGGTGTCGTCATTAACGTCCAGGTGAAATTAAAAATGTCCGTTTAACCCTTTAAGATCAAATCCTCACTTATATTGTTCCCATATTTAACAATTTATGCCAAAAACATTCACAAAAACTAAACTTATTTGTGTTTTTGTATCAAAATCCAATTATTGGATATATTTTATGGAGAGAATATTATAATATAGCGTCTGTACAGTGTGACAAAAAAATACATAATACATAAACTTACAGTGGATGAGCTGATGTGGTTTAATGAGATAAATACAAATATTGTCCTAAATTAAATCATTAAAACCTATAATTTGAAAATGAATTTACAGGTCTTAAACATTTATTGGGTTGATTAACTTAATGTTACTCGTATAAAGTTGCATGTTTGAGTCCTCTCACACTTTCTTTTAGGTTTGTTTCAGGGAACAATATCATATTTAATATATAAATATTCTAATTAATCATCACATCAGTTTTCCTTCATATACTTCCAACTTTTTTTTGCCTATTTGGACATAAAATAGGTCTTAAATTGGGTTCATAAAGGTCTTAAAAAGTCCTGCAGAACCTCTGATTATAGTTTTACTTATAACCACAATGATTAATATGTTATAAAAGGTTTAATGTCACATTTAAATGAATTTATTTTTGTACTTCCAGTAAGTTTTTGGACGGATTAATAACAGAAAGGTCCAAACAGAAACCCATAATGCACCACTCTAAACCCCAAACCTCCGCTTTATAACCCCTTATAGACCTTTTTCACAGCAGCTGTGTTGGACATTAAATAGTTGGGTAAACACCGGTGTTACAATGATTCAGTTACATCGGTTCCACCTGTGTTTACCCAACTATTTAATGTCCAAATCAGCTGCTGTGAAAAACGCTCATTATTAGACGTTTTTCGGTCTCAAGCCTAAGATAACCACCCGATGACATCACTATGACGTCATCCGGGGTTATTTTTAAAAACACGTCTGTAAAGTTTTCTACAGTTTTCGTGGGTGAAATGAGCGTAAGGGCCCTTTAAGGTTCCTGATCCTCTCGCTGTAGAGTCGAACTCGTTAACTGGTTTTAATTGAGCTCGCCAGTCGTCAGCCACGCCGATGCTGCCACCTGCTGTTCAGACTGAGAACTGCAGCTGTAGATCAGAGCAGAGGATCCTCGACCTTTTTCTATCAGTACGACTGTATTTAATGTATATTTCATATTATATTCAGTAATAATAATAACTATAACAGCAGAGAACAACAAACTGCAGGAAGTTTGTGTAAAAGCAGAGATTTTGATGAACTGATGAACAGATTATTTACTCTGAATATTGATCAGAGACGAGTTTTACTGATATTTTTTAGCAACTTTTAAATAATTCTCTGTCTGTATTATGTATTATCTTTATTTTTAACACTCATACAGACATAATAAGCTTCTTTTTTGACAGTGTTTTTCTCATTGTTCTATCAGCTCTTTGGTTCTTTTAACTTAAATAATAATATAACAAATAAAAATAAGAGTTTCATTTAGTTTAACTACGCCTTTAAAAACTTTATCTCAGCATAATTTCTGTGAAGAAAACTAAATTAAAATGTTTTGTTTAAGATTTAGATTATTATTTAACTGGGTGAAGAGCTGAACATTAGAAAACAACCAAAGAGCTGATAGAACAATGATAAGAAAACACTGAATCTGTCAAAAAAGAAGAATATTAAGTCTGTTTGATTGTTAAAAATCATAAAAATACAGAATACAGACAGAGAATTTTATAAAAATATCAGTAAAACTCATCTCTGATCAATATTCACAGGAAATAATCTATTCAGAATTAATCCAATCCATTAATCTCTGGTTTCACACAAACTTCCTGCTGTTATTGTTATTATTGAGTATAATATGAAATAAACATTAAATACAGTCAGTGTATTCACTGATAGAGAAGGAGTTCCTTAAGGAAAGTTTGGGAATATCTACATTAGAGTTGTAGTTGTACTATTATTATAATCTGCATGCTGATCTGGGGTCAGTATAAAGATTAAATCTAAACAAACTGCTGAGAGTGAAACAGAAGCTGCTCCAGATTCAGACCACAGGTGTCGAGTTTCAGTCAGTACCCAGACTGCACAGATAGGGGGCAGCACAGCCACACACCTGTTCCTGTGTTTGACTCTGGATGTGTCTGTCAGTGTGTGTGTGTGTGTGTGTGTGTGTGTGTGTGTGTCTGTCTGTGTGTGTGTGTCTGTGTGTGTGTGTGTCTGTCTGTGTGTGTGTGTGTGTGTAGTTCTGTTTTGGTGATGTGTGTGTCTAGTCAGTGTGTATATGTGTGTGTGTATGTGTGTTTGCAGGAATGTTGACGCAAGTCTTTGTGTTCTGAGGTATATTCCGGGCCTTCCAGGACGGCCACTAACAACCAGCCGGAGCATTACGCCTGGGATTCACTCCTGGATACACCTACCATGTTTCCCTGTCAAATCACACACCACTTCCTGCTCCCTGACACACACACGCACACTAGACAGTACACCACACACCACACACACATACACACACACATCACACACACAGCACCACCAGCAGGTGTAGTTCACTACGGTGTTTGTTAGATGAAACGCTGACAGTCGACACGTAACAATCATCCTGGTTGTCACTGTAGCTTTAAATCATCTCAGAGTGAGTGGTGTGGGAAGTCTTTCCAGTGTTTGATGACGAACTTTAAACTAATTATATAATGTTAATATATTAATAACGTAATAATTTATTATAAGCTACCCAGGAATACTTCTGTTGTTGTGTGTTCCAGCGCTGCTTGTCCGCACTCCCCTCTTCCACCTCTTGTCCGGTCATTGGAGGCCTGTAACCGGGTGGCTCCCGCCGTTTTAAAGCTTCGAGTGAATATTTGGGTATCGGATGAAAAACTCGATCAACACACCACCGTAC